TCCTAATTTAGGTAATTTTCTCGAAGAAAGGACAATATGGCTCTATCCTAAAGTTGGACCTTACGGCTCACTATATGCCAGGTTAAGATTTACACGTCTAAAGGTTCCCATACTATTCCTCACATCATCGTCCATTATAGACTAGTAAGGCTCCCCGATCCTCACCCATTACAGGCTGCTAATGGAAAGGGTTCAATCTGAGTGGAAGTATTTCGTTAGCAAATGCGGAGGTTATCACCTCACGAGAGCATAGCTACTTCACTTCCTCCTAAAAGGGATAGAGCTCGGGTTTAGAGCTCATGCATGAATATGTAGAGTGTGTGCAAAATAATGTACTAATTAAAATACCAAAAACACAAAATTAAAATAAAATGACAACTAACATACAATTTAGCTTATTCAATAACATATATTTTTGGAAAATGAAAATAAAGGAGATTAAATGAAATGTCAAATAAAACCAATTAAATCCAACGATTCTTAATGGCGCATGATTAAAAATTTTGGCTTGACTCTCAAATAATGTCCCCAGCGGAGTCGTCAAGCTGTCGTAACGGTTTTGGGACGTCAGACGTAAAAGATGATGTTTTAAAATCGAGAAAAATAAATAAAAAGTGAGAGTCACCACCAATCTTTGTTAGGGTGTGATTGGCCACCCAAAAGCTTATCCTTTTAATAAAACTATAAAAACGGGTTTAAAGTTTATCAAAAAGATAAATTTCGATCTACGAAAAATCAAGTTAGGTCCGGGAGTCGATACGCGTGGGGAAGGATTAGCACCCCTACAACGCCCATAAATTGGTACCATTTAATTACGCACTATTTTCGGTGTTGGATAAAAATGGTTTTAATTTAAAATTTAACACTAATTTCCTTCATTTGAAAAAAATAAAATTTTGATAAAATATTTATTTAGAACTATTGAAAAAATCTTTAAGTTAAAAAATTATCTTAAAATTCTCCATCATCTAGGCATAATTTGAAATAACTCTTTTCGCTTAAGATTTAACACAACAATCCTTAAAATGAAATAACACTTTTTATAGAAAATTATTGGTGACTCTCCAAAATCTAGGCAGAGTACCAAAAATTATTTTTTTGGAATGTTATTTTATTTTATTTTGTAATATCACAAAAAGAGATTTTTTTTGTATTATTCTTTTTTTATTATAAAATATTTTATCATTGAACAGTAAATTAAATGGAGAATAATGCAAATAATTATCGATGATAACATGCTAACATATATCATGCTAATGAATATCACGTAAAATGAGATGCAATTTAAGAGTTGGATTCTTAAATATAATGAGACCACCCCAACTCTCCAACATCTAGGCAGAGCTTAGGTGCGACTATTTATATTTAAGATTCTAATTTTATTATATCTTTATTTATTAATCTTATTATTAATGTAAATTACGAACTCGTGTGAAAAAACTTAACGAAGTAAAATTTCCTAAATACCCCATCATCTAGGCAGCATTTGAGAACAGATTACATCAAATAGAATTTTCACACGTGTCCTTAGGATTTTTAAGACTTTGAATTTTAAGAGGTTTTGAATTTTAGGGGATTTTGAATTTTTATGGGTTTTTAAAAAAAACTTAGGATTTTGAAAATTAAAAAATTAGTGTTTAAGGTTTCGTTTTTTTTAAGAAAATATGAACATCTCTAAAAATCCCCAACATTTAGGCGGATTTTCGAAGCAAGTTCGATTTTAATGATTTTTGAAAATTAATTTAAAATTTTCTTATATATTTCTTTTTATGAAAATTTATTAATAATAATTTCTCAACATATAGGCGAAATTATTTATTTGAAAATTATTTTTTTTATTCCCTCCAACATCTAGGCAGGGAAAATAAAAAGCTTATTTCATTATTATTATTTAAACATTTTTAAAATATATTATTTTTTAGTTATTATTTTATATTATTTTCGTTTATTTATCATTAATAACAATTAGATATTTATCCTAATAAATTTAAACATTTATCATACATAAATATAAAAATAAAAAAATAATAATGTAAAAAAAATTTAGAAAAAATAAAAAAAATAAAAAAAATTTTTTTACCTGAATCGGACCGGTCAAAGCTGATCCGAGCGATTCGGGCGGTCGGACCAGTTCGACAGTTGGATCGACGGTTTGGATGACCAGCGATTTAGACCGGTTCACTGACGGTTCGTTTGAACCGGTTCAAGGTAGCTGAAACGGGTCGTCGGGTCGGGTTGCACAGATCTCCGGTCGAGTTCGATCCACGCGCGGATCCTCTACGCTTGAAGCGGCGTCGTTTTGGTCCAATGTTCAAAACGACGTAGTTTTGGTCCTATGTTTTCTATAAAAGTCAGAAAAAAAATTTTTTCTCAATCTGTTTGTTCGACAGAAAAAAAAAGTTCTGGGGGGTTCTCTGGCTCGTCGGAATCCGAGCCAATCGCTATGCCGGTCACTGTGCGGGTCATCGTCGATGGGGCTAGAAATTTGAAAAGTGACCAGGAGGTTCCGTTCAACCTCTTGAGCTCAGATTTGGTGCTCTTTTCACTGAAAACGACCTTGATTCGCGTAGATCGGGTTTTGAAGTTTTTGGTATACTTTTCTTTTTCTTTTTTTTTGTTTTTTTGGCGAAACTGATGATTTCTTTGGTTTTGCATGGAGCTTGGTGCTGAGGTTCCTCCTGAAGGGAGGACTGTGTTGTTTTCTTTTTTTTTTTTGTTAGATCTATTTTTGTTCTCGGTTTGGGTATTTTAGGGAGTATTTGAAGTTTGGTTTTTCTTTTTGCGTCGGAATGGGGTCTGTCTGAAGGTGTTGAGGGTGTTTTGAGGGGAAAGAGTTCGTCTGAGAATGGGTTTTCTTCTTTTTTTGTTAAAGAGCCGAGAGACCTTGAATGAGGAAGATGGTTGAGGATTTTAAAGGGTTTCGATTTAAGGGGATCTAGGTGGCTATAAGGTAGTTAATTGGTAGCTGTAGGTTGGCTGGTCGAGAGGCTGGTCGGGGAGTTGGTCGGGCCAGCTCAACGCCGTACCAACCCCTTGACTTTTATCTTATTTCTCTTTTTTAATTTTTAATTAATATATATTTTATTATTATTATTATTATTATTATTATTAGTATTAATATACTTAAAATGAAAACCGTAGATCCGGATAAAATTAGTATCTACAATAATGTTTCGTGATGATTTAAAAATGTTGGTTAGATTTAAGGTTAGTAAGCATAATTTGTTTTATTGATGGTTTAAGTCTAGTTTTTTAGGGTTTTTTTTAATTTTGTAATTGTAGAAATTTGGTTTGATTTTTTGTATTGATATTTTATTCATGATTAATTAATTAATTAATCAATCTTTAATCTTTTAGGTTTTTTAATTATGTTAATTTTTATTTTGATTAAAATGTAAAATGGTTATTTTATAATATTAAGCAAATGTCAACCATTAATTTTTTTAAAATTCTTTTAATCTATAGTTATAAATATGTATAATTGGCATAAAGATAGATATATTTTATCCTCTGTAATTTATATTGAAAATTACTATCCTTCATTTTAAATTGAATGTACATTATATTACTTTAGAATGTTTCAAAACAATGTCAAGTATCTTAAATGGAATATATTTTTCAATATTGTCTTTTAAGTGAAATATTAATTACAGATAGATTGGATCATTCTAAATTTTACAATTGTTAGAGGCAATAATAGTTGTAAAGTAAAGAGCAAAATACTTCTTAAAATATTGTGATATTTGAATAGTCGCAACCCAACCCGGCTCGATCCAATCTCATAATGTTGGATTTTTCTTTTAAAAAAATCGAGTTTTTGATCGAGTTGGGTTGGGTAATAGTAGAAAAATATCAAGGTCGGGTCGGAGTCGGGTTTTAGGCAAATTCATTCTGACCTAACGCGATATATATAAAAAATTATTTTTTAATTATTTATATATTTATATAATTTTATATTTATATTAAAAAAATATTTTATTAATTCCAGTTCAAGTCGAGTCAAGTCAGGTACAATTTATGAAATATCGAATTAGATCTATTCAGGTATGAAAAAATAATAAAAACCTCAGATCGAGTCGAGTTCAAGGCGAACAAAACTCTATCCCAATCTGACCTATTGCCATCCTTATTTTTGAAAGTAAACATTCAATTTTAATTTTTAAACTAAAGTACTATAATTTATCAATATTAGTATTAACATTTTTATAAAAATAATATTAAAAAATGTTAAACTCAAAAGCGAAGTCAAATTAAAACCAGATAAATTTTAATCCTTTTTAAAAGAATATACTATTAAGCAAAAAGATAACAAGAACATATCTCTTAACAATTAATCAATCAAAATTTGGAATTATATAAAATTTATTTAAATATTATGTAAAATTCATATTTATAAGTGATGAATCATTACATAATTTTTTATTATGATTGAATAATTATATAATTATAATAAAAAAATTATAGATGAAATACTCTTATCAAAGAGAACATATACATAAAACTTTTTTTACTATAATGTTATGGTTATTTAATCATAATAAAAAATTATATATGAGTCCACCACGGCACCATTTATAAATATGAATTGATTAATTATAATCAATGACAGATTTACGTTTAATGCTAGGGCGTTCATGGGCAAAAAAAAAAAAAAAATGAAAATATGAAAGTTTGAAGAAAATTTTTTATTAAACATCCTTAAAATTTTTCAATGAGCATCTCAAAAATTTAAAAATTTAAAAATTTAAAAGGAAATTTTTAAGTAAATACCTCCAAAATTTTTTGATGGACAATTTAAAGATTTAGAAATGAGAAAATTAAAGAATTTCCATTGAACACTTTATAATTTTTTTATGAACATTTTTTTGTCAACAAAATTAGTAAATTTCATGATAAATTCATACATATATTTTTATATATATTATAAATGAAAAAAAAAATCTGTTACTGATTATAATAATTATAAATGATTCCAAGTGATGCGCTAGAAATGGATCAAGATTTTGAAAGGTCTCTTGTTACTTCGGCTCCAACGCTGGACGGTTTGGTCTGCTCGCCTCTGCGGGTCCCAGTGTTTGTTAGATCGATTCGTACTTCTCATTCAACGGCGTCGTATCTTCTTTACTGTACTCTCCTTTCAACCGTCTCCACATCCTCTCCTAGTTTTTAGTCCCTTTAATTAATGCAGTTTAAATCCAACAAAATTATTACAGTTAAAAAAAAGTCTCTCCAGATTCATATTTATCAACTGCACGTCAAAAAAAGAAGTTTCTGGTCCTCAATGGCTGCCAAGCTGGGTTCGTTTAGGTACTCTCTTCTAGAGAAAAGAGAGAGAACAAAGGGGTATTCAGTATTGGGATTCACCAACGAAGAAGAAGAACAACAAGGACGGAGATGCTTTTCTTACAGATTCATAAGCAACAAAGTAAATGGGTTCCTAAAGGAGATTCAACATGTTTCAGTCAAGGCATGGCAGATGGGCAAATCCGATCCCAGAAAGATTATTTTCTCCGCCAAGATGGGTCTTACCTTAATGCTTCTTTCCTTGCTTATTTTCTTGAAAGAAGAACCCATCAAGGAGCTAAGTCAATACTCTGTTTGGGCTATTCTCACTGTTGTTGTCGTCTTTGAATTCAGTATAGGTAATTTGGTTGGTTTTCACTTTGGGTTTCTTTCACTAATAATTTTCTTATGTCTTCTTTAATGATTTTCCTTCCCCTTTGGGTTGGTTTAGAGGTTTTGATTGGATTTTTTGCTTTTATTATATTTGTTTTCGCTTCTTAAAAACTAGAAGAAGAATAATAGTTGATTAAAAAAAAAAAAAATTGCAACTCTGATATGAATGTTTTATATATTAAAAGTAAAAGAATGTATTTTGTTCTAAAAAAATGCAACTACAGTTTTTTAATTCTACAAAATTATTGCTATTAGTATTTTACTTCTGCATGGAAATGTACCTTTTTACTTCTTAAAGCAAGAAGCAACGAAAAAATAAAAAAAGAGTCTAAAATTTATCATGTGGTACTCTTTGTTTTATTGTTTTAAAGTGCTAGTACACCTCATAAGAAATTTGGTTCTTGCGAGGGTTCATCTTCTTTTGGTTTTGTTTTAATTCTTCTTTCTATGGCTGAGCTCATTTTCACTTTTATGTTCACGTGTGTATTTATGAATGTGTTTTATGTATGTGTGTTTGAGTTGTTTTTGAATCTAGGGAAGGCCACAATGTTATAGCTTTATCACAAGATTAAATGAAGTTTCAAATGATTTTTGTGCAATAATATCGCTTACTAGAGTAAATGAAAACATGTTCACCATTCGATTCCTTTCTTATAAAGTCGTGAATAATGTATTCATGAATGTGTTTTATGTATGTGTGTTTGAGTTGTTTTTGAATCTAGGGAAGGCCACAATGTTATAGCTTTATCACAAGATTAAATGAAGTTTCAAATGATTTTTGTGCAATAATATCGCTTACTAGAGTAAATGAAAACATGTTCACCATTCGATTCCTTTCTTATAAAGTCGTGAATAATGTATTCATGAATGTGTTTTATGTATGTGTGTTTGAGTTGTTTTTGAATCTAGGGAAGGCCACAATGTTATAGCTTTATCACAAGATTAAATGAAGTTTCAAATGATTTTTGTGCAATAATATCGCTTACTAGAGTAAATGAAAACATGTTCACCATTCGATTCCTTTCTTATAAAGTCGTGAATAACTTCATTTTCCCAAGGCCTGAACCGAATAGATGGTCTTATTTATCCTATCAAACCAGTAATAACGAACAGATGGTCTTTTTTGTTATTACATCCTTCCTTTTCCTGTTAAAGCTTTCCTTGGCAGGAAGGATGGAAGGCAATAAGGATGAAAAATTTATTCATCCAATGACTAGGTTTCTTTACAATATAAAAACTTTTTGCTTGCTAAGAAGGATAGAAAGGGGTAAGGCTTACCTGTTTAAAATTCTTTACATTTATTCTCATTAGCCTAAAGGAACCAGTGTGTTCTTTTCTTTACAACTTTAATGGTCACTTTTTTTCTTCAGGAGCTACTCTTAGCAAAGGATTTAACCGTGGGCTGGGGACACTATCGGCTGGAGGGCTCGCCCTGGGTATGGCCGAATTGTCGCAGTTGGCTGGACAATGGGAAGAAGTTGTTATTGTTATTAGCATCTTTATCATAGGTCTGGTTTTCTGGTCATGATTTTTATCTCATGTATTATATTATTAATTAGTAGTCTTGTTAAGAGTTGCTACTGGGTTCTCTGATGTGCCATCTATTGCCAGGATTCTTTTCAACTTATGCAAAACTATATCCAACGATGAAGCCTTATGAGTATGGATTCCGAGTGTTCGTGTTGACATATTGTTTCATAACAGTATCTGGGTATAGAACAGGGGAATTCTTCCATACGGCTGTGACACGATTTTTGCTAATAGCACTTGGTGCCAGTGTTTCTTTAGTTGTTAATGTATGTATTTACCCTATCTGGGCTGGCGAGGATCTACACAACTTGGTGGCAAAAAATTTTATGAGTGTGGCAAATTCTTTAGAAGGTTAAAATATGCACCTAATGTTTATTGATTTATCTCATTAAATTTTGTAAGTAATGGCATCCTCATGCTTTTCTCCTTCCACTTTTGATCAGGATGTGTTAAGGGCTACCTTAACTGTGTTGAATATGAAAGGGTCCCTTCCAAAATTTTAACTTATCAAGCTTCAGATGACCCAGTTTACAGTGGCTACAGATCAGCTGTAGAATCTAGAAGTCAAGAGGAAGCTCTGGTAATTTTTATTGCACTTTTGTTACATCTTCCACCTGGTGCCTGAAATGATCCCTTTGTTTTCCCTTCTTTTCTTTTCCAATGCAAAGATGGGCTTTGCCATCTGGGAGCCACCTCATGGTCCTTACAGGTCAATTGGTTATCCATGGAAGAATTATGCCAAAGTAAGTGGAGCACTAAGGCATTGTGCATTCATGGTTATGGCATTGCATGGCTGTATACTTTCAGAAATACAGGTAGTTTTTCTTTCCTATCTCTAACGTATGCAATTGATCGTCAACTTTCCATTTTTCATGTTTTGTTTGTTCCATGGCAGTATAGCACTAGGATCCGAGTTATTGGTTTTCCCTTTTTCATTTGGCAGTGGTTCCTTGTAAATTATTATTTGTGCTTTGCACTAACAGAAAGTTACTACTACTATTTCTTTTCATCCACAATTTCATTTTTAGCTGTTTTTTTAGGAACAACAGGTTTATTGTTCCACTAAAAATATTCTATTAGGTCTTTTCGGTGCTTTGTTTGTCATGGCACTGATTGAATAATAGTATTCTCTGGCCTTAGGAAACTGTGCTTTTGATGCAACTTATGTAATTACTTTCTCTGATCTAAACTTCTTGTTGGCCATGACACAAATTTTCCTAATGCATCTTCTCTGTTCATAACTGTACCGTAGACATAGTTCAACCCATGCCTAATTACCCTCTTATCTAAATTTTTTAATATACTTTTAGGAATAGGACTTTTTGAATTGAAATATTGAATCATAGAAATAACCTTCTAGGAAGTGACTACATGCCGCATGAAATTGCTCTGCAACAGGAATTCACAATTACAATTTACTGATTGATGATTATCCTTTCTAATGCTACCCCCCATTGAAATGTGCCTATCATTGCAAGTGCGGCTTCTTTTTTTTTTTTTTTTTTTCCCAATGAGATGGGCTTGCAGTTTTTCTTAAACTTCATGTATTTCAAATTATAATATTTGTATGTGTAGGCTCCACCTGAAAGGAGACAAGTCTTTCGTGATGAACTTCAGAGGGTAGGTGCTGCAGGTGCTAGAGTGCTGCGTGAGCTTGGGAACAAAGTTAAAAAGATGGAGAAATTAGGTCCTGTTGACATACTATTTGAAGTACATGAGGCTGCAGAAGAGTTGCAAAACAAAGTTGACCGAAAATCATACCTTCTTGTTAATGCTGAGAGTTGGGAAATTGGAAATCGAGCACATAGTGTAGCAGAGCCTCAAGATTTACTGAACTTCGATAGTGAAGAACACAAAGTCCTGGGTTATAAGTCCCTCAGTGAAGCAGTACTTGATCTTAGGTCAGTTACCATACCAAAAAGTTGGGATGATCTGAAGAATAATGTAGGTGTCAACCCCATAGTCCCTCCTGGAGCACCCTCTGAAGACTTACTTAAGAAGCAGATATCGTGGCCAGCGCCTACTTTATTTACTGCTGATGCAGTGCCACATTTGGAAGAGTCAAAAACATATGAGAATGCAAGTGCATTGTCATTGGCAACATTTACTTCGCTTTTGATTGAATTCGTTGCAAGGCTGCAAAATGTGGTCGACTCATTTGAAGAGTTGAGCCAGAAAGCAAACTTTAAGGAAGCTGATGAGCTACCAACGGCAGCAAGAGAGCCCACTGGCCTTTGGTCCAGATTGCTTAGATGTCTTAAGTTTTAGAAAGATTAGAAAAATACAAAAATGGAATTGGTCAGAGCCTAAATCAAGAATAATGGCTTAAGATGTGGTCTCAACAAGTTCGGGAAGATGGCAAAAATATTTCTGCATTAATGCGGATGCTTTATAACTTGATGAGAATGATCTGATGAAATGGTAAGTGAAAATTGCTGTCATGGCAGAAGTTTCCTCTTTGCTTCCATCCGGTAAAAATTTCACACCTGCATAGCAATGTAAATGCTCGCCTTCTCAAATCTGTAGCAATAGTAATACCTAAATAGTGTAGGCTTGAATGGGTGCAGCATCGGCAATAGGATTTGGATCAATAGCGGGCTTGATCAAGTTTTAGTAGTGCATAACCCCACGATTTGCGTCGGAGCCTATAATTAAATTTTAAATCATTTTAAAATTTTATTTATATAAAGTTTAAATATTTGTATTAACAGCATACCGAAATATATATTCAAGTATGTAAACAATGTTTTGAATATTTTACTTTGTATGATAAATATACGAGAGGAATATTACAAAATAAAATATGAATAACGAATGCTTGCTCCCAATTTTAAGTGTGAGACCTCTTCAACCACACCGAGGAACAAATTAAAATAATACAACTCTACTAGAAAGTTAAAACGATCATAACTACTTTAGTTTATCACTAACCTGTTAAGAGAACTAAACTTATATAACAACTTTACAATGGTGGACAAATGAATGAATTGGGAAAAATTTTCCACCATTTCTAATTAGATAGTCTCCTCAACAATAAACCAAAGGTTCAACAAAATAGGAAACTACACCTCTTTAACTTCAGTCATTTATGTTGAGTTAACAAGTTAGCAGCAATCAGTTGTCCTTTATTTTTGCATTTCTGTATTTTATGAAGGTCATAATTTAGTAGTGCTTAGCATAATATGGTAATACACTTAAAGTTAGTGATAATATCTGATTCTTGAAATAATCATGTGCCTAAAAATTTGAAGTATATAACCAAATGCAACAGATGTTGCAGTTCTGGAAGTACTTATGAAGATTAAATGCTCATGATTTCGAGACCCAAGGTGCATGCTAAAAACAAACATTAAGACCATATCAAAAATGACAACCCTCTCACTCTTGAAACAATGGTATGGTCATAAAATATGAAATAATCAAATGTAACAAATTTGCTTTTCCATTAAATGCTTGCGATTTCAAGCACCCAAGATGTAAAATTACAAATTCCCATAAATTAAACTCAAAACTAAACTAAAACTTTGTGGGAAAAAAGAACTACTAACACCAATCAAATAACAAATACTCAGATTATAACGTTTCAAAAAAATCCAAAATTTACCAAAATCGAGTAAAAGAGAATAATGTGAAGCAAATCCATAAAATAAAATAAAATAAAAAAAGAGTATGAGAGAAAGGGAACATACAATTTACCATATGCATCTTAAAGAGCTTAAATTATTTCCTTTGTTTATTCCATCTTCTAAATACAATAAATTCTGAATAAATACTCACAAATATATTAGGGCCATAGAAGTAAGATACACAAATCAAATAATTTCAAGAAATAAATCATTTTTAAAACTTTTTTTACAGTATATTCAGAAAGTGTAAAAAAAAATCTATCAAATACAATAATGAGTAATTAATAATCGGAAAGTCAATTTGTCCGAAAGATGAGTTTGTTGAAACTGTCTCAATAATAATACTTAAACTAAATTGATTAAAAAAAAACATGGCCTTTTTTTTTTTTTCATAAATTTAACATTTTCTTTTGCATTCTTTAAAGTTTCTCTTTACAAGAAACCTTCCTCTCGAGCACTCCACAATCCTCGATCCATTATCTACTTTCATTAAATAAATAAGAACTTTAACATAAAATGAATAGTTAAAAAGCATAGATCTAAAGGCTAATAGAAATAGTAATTGAATACAACGTTAGTCAATAAAAATGAACACCCTAGAAAACGTAAGCAACTAAAACATGAACTAACAGCAAATGTCAATATGATTAATTTTGAAGATCAATCAACCAATCAAAGTAACATGCAAGAATTTTCCTATCTCAATTATATTACGAAGAAGGGAGACCGGTTTAATTGAGAGTGATAATTTTGCATCAAAATTTCAGAAAACTGCCACAAAAGATATATAGGTAGAATTTTTCTTACCTCACAAGATCCTGACATCGAACGCAATAATAGATTAGAATAAAAGAAAATATAATAGCAAAGATGAATACTGAAAGTAATTGAACAAACTTCTTCCTATTTTCATTTCCCTTCCACTTTTATATGATTCTTTTCCTATTTTTCCCCGATTATCCTTCTCTGATCGCTAGCACTTGCTTTTTATCTCTGCCTTCATTCTCCTTTTTACCGTTTTTCTTCGTTATCTTCTTCTTTCATCTCATATTTTTTCTGTTTAGATCAATCTTTTTTCTCTTCATCTCTTTATGCTTTTCCGATTCCATTTTTTAGGGAGTAGAAAGGCAAGCTTTATCTATTTTTTCTTTCAGATTTTTTTTTCTCTCTCCAATCTTTAGAACTTTTTTTGCATTTAAAATTTTTGATAAAAAAACTAATAATTATTATTTATATATTTTATTTAACAAATTTGAAGTTGAATATTTTAAAAAAATTAATTAATTGAATATCAATATTCTTTTAATTTTAAACATTATTGCACATATTTTTAATTTTTTAATTTTAAAATAGCATGATTCATTTTAAACTCTTGCTGAATGATAATTATTTGTATCAATATTATTTAAAGATCTAAGTTTGAATATTATCAATTAAAAATAATAATTGAAATTATTAACAGCTTGGAACAATGTATGATTGAAACCAATTTGTTCAATGTCTTTTCGTTCAACCGTTTTAGCATACATAGCATAATAACTTTTCTAGTCCAACCTTGAGACATCACAATCAAGCAAATCCAAACAGACAATAGCAAAGTTGCAGAATAGCTGTTAATTCTCTTTTTTAATATTATGTAACAGCCATAGAGATACGTGAATATTTCACCTCATCGTCCTTGTGATTTGCGGAAAGAACAGTAAATGTTGACAACATTATAGAAACCAGAGAAGAAATACATTTTCACGCTTAAAACTAACTTTCATTTCAAAATTAGCCATGAAATTTTTTTAAAGACATTGTCGAGGTGGACATCAAATCTAAAATAGGAAACTGCTTTTATTTATTGTTGTAGATTTAATTTAAATAATAAATGATATTGATATGAAAAGAGGATAGCAAGCCAAGCACCTCTATTATCAAGATTCCTACTGATTCTTTCTCGAGTGCTTCTATTAGGTCTACCTGGGCCTATCATACATGAAACAGTATTTTTTTTTTCATTTATAGATATATGATCATGTAAAACTTAAATACTACGTTTATAATTCTAGAAATTCAATCTTTGGTCTTTGTAATATCAATTAAAGATAACGTTTTAAATTTAAAAAATATAATTTTTTATTTTTTTAATTAACGAATTTCATTTATACTTCTAGAAACATAGTTTTTGTTTTTTTTTTTTTATAAATATCAATTAAGACTGTTTTTATTGTAGATTTTTTTCAATTAGACATCACATTCTTGATTTTTAGAAAACTTAATTTTTGATAATTTTTTAATTAATGATTATGTTTATATTTTAAAAAATGTAATTATTATAAAATATTTTTTTTATAAACATCAACTAAAAACTCATTTTAAATTGTAATTTTTTTAATTATACATTACGTTTTTTATTTGATTATATATTATTTTATTCTCATACTTTCTGCCTGTTAATTCTTTTTAAATTGTTGAATAGTTGTCTCCCCAAATTAGTGTTTGAAAAGTTACAAGGACAACTTTAATAGATGGGTAGGTGTGTGTTAAGATGTTGAGGATTTTTTAGATAAGAAATGGATATGGGGAGATGAGGAGAAAAAGAAATGAGGATTTGATTTATAATGATGTGAAAAGTGACGAGACTGAAAGATGGGGTGTTGAAGAAAGAAAAAGAAATAAAAAAGATGAAAAGTTAAAAAGTTAAATAAAAAAGTTAAAACGTAAAAGTGATGTTTTAAATAAAAAAAGACAAAAATAAAAAAAAGAGAGAGAATACCATGTGTCACTCCCAATAAAGAGAATTGTGTTTCATACACGAGCAAAACGTATTCTGGATTTTTTGCCTGAACTTTGCTTGTAAAAGCAATAAAGCTATTCAACTTTGGCTTGAGTTACCTTGATTATTATCGATTCAAAAGAATTCTGGACATCAATTGAGTTTTTTTTTTTTTTCATTTGAGATTATTAGAGATTACACTTTTATCACTAAAATTAAAAATAAAAAGGTCAAAAGGATTGGTAAAGCATTTTTCATCCCAATTCCTTATTGTTTACATTGTATTCATCTTTATATCAATACCTAACAAAAATTTTAAAATTATACTCATCCATATCTCATATGAATATTTAATAAATGCAGATAATTTTTATACTCTTAATCCCTTTTTTTTTAATATTTTAAAACATTTAAAATAAAAATATATTATCATAATTAACGTATTTTTTATTAATATCAAATATTAAAATAGTAATATTTATTATTCAAATATTAAAAATATTTATAGTATTAAAGTAGTAATATTTTATATTAAAAATATTTATTAGTAAATCATAAAAAAAGGTATTATTTATATTTTTTATGAAAATTGTAACATAGAAACATTTGTCAAAAAAATATTACAATATTATATATTTTTAGTTTAAAAATATTAAGTTTGGCTAACTTAAGATAAAATCATAACCAATTAAACCTAACATAATTATATTTTTTTCAGTTTAAATATATTTATTGAATATATTTAAATTTACTAATGTCATAATATATAAATCTATGAACCTATCGTTGGATATAAACTTTAAATAGTCACCATTAATCTTTTTTATTAATATGTGATTGGTTATCTAACAGAATCTGTCCCATTTTCAAAAAATCTCAAAATTAACTTAAATATCTTTAAATAATATATTCTAGTTTACTAAACTAGATTTAGGTTTGTGAGTGTGGCTACATGTAAAGAAGGTTATAGCACTCTTATAGTGTCCATCAAACATTGGTGCCAATTTGATTTTAAATTATCAACGTCTTAAACATTTGTATAATTTATCAAAATATTTAATATTAAAAACTAATCTTAACATTATTCCAAAGGGGTGTTTGATTCACAGAATCTTAGATTCCGAGGGAAAGTGCGATACCCAAGATTTTCTTCCATTTTAGGCATTTCATGTTCAAAATTCACTCATTTAGTTAGAAAATATTCACGTATATTAATTCTTAAATAATTATCATAATCTATTTAGCATATATGATGATAACTTTTTATTATCTTTTATTAATAATAAATACCCAAATGACAAATGATGTCTTTAGCAACAAAAAAATAAATAAATATTTTTATGATTGCTATTTTTATTTATAAAATATCATCAATAAAAAAATCTTGAAGATT